TGATATTTATGAAAATTAAACTCTGATAGCTTAATTTAATAAGCTATCAGAATTTAATTTAAAAAAAAATAAAGAACACGATCATCACTCTAAATTTTTTTAAGGAGTGCGATTGTCGCTCTTTAAATTTTTTAATTTCAGGGGTTTTAAATAAAAGCCCCAGGATTTTTTTAAAAAAAAAATATTTCGTGGCTTTTAAATAAAGTCACAAAATTTTAATATTTTTTTTTAGCGATCTGTCACTTTAAATAGTAACAGATCGCTTTTTTTTTTAAAAAAAATAATTTTTTTTTAGTGATCCGTCACTTTGAATAGTAATGGATCACTTTTTTTTATTTTTTTAATGATCCGTTACTTTAAATAGTGACAGATCGCTTTTTTAATTTGATTTTTTCCGTTGCTATTTAATAGCAACAGATAATTTTTTTTTTTAAAAAAAATTTGTGGCTTTTAAATAAAGTCACGAATTTTAAAATAAAAAAAATTATGTGGGCTTTTATTTAAAGCTCCAAAATTTTTAAGACTCGAGCCTTGTGAGCTAGGCCTTAGTTGAGCTTGGCTTGCGAGCCTATGAGTCTATAATATTAGGCTCAGCTCAGCTTGGATCAGCTCGGCTTGCTAGGCTCACGAGCCTTAAGGCCTATGAGGAGCTTTAAGTATAATGATTCTTTTGTATTTGACTAGTGAATATATTTGATATCAAATATATATAATATTTGTGAAATATGACTAATGATAATTCATAATAATTAACAACTTGTTAATAATTTAATTTGTTAGAATGTTAATAAATTTATTTTTATATATCTTAAATTTTTGTATATGTAAAAATATATGATTAATTTTTTTTATTCTACTTGTAATATTAGGTGTAAGAGTAATGTATATATTTATATGCTTATCAGTTACCTAATAGGTATATCAAATATCTGATAAGTACAATAAAATATTTTTTACACTCATCAAGTACCTGATATATCTATTAAATACCTGATAAGTATATGAATATGTACATTACTCTTGCATTTATTAGACATCCAATAGATATAAATTTTTGACCAGTGATATATAAACATTATTTATATAAATTATTAAAAATCCTTTTTTTATCTTTTTTAAAATAGAAAATTTATTATTTAACAATTTTATATTCACTTATCTTTAACAAGTCAATTTGTCTAAACACTAATAAATATTATATTTATTAAATATTAGATAGATACCAAATAAGTAATAGATAAATATAATATTTGATTTGAAAATTGAATATATATCACTATTCAATAAATATAAAAAACATTTTTTTATATTTATTGAATACTTGAATATATAAAAAATTATTTTTTATACTTATTAAATATCTAATATAAATTTGATTTTTAAAAAAATATTATACTTATCTGGTATCCAATAGATATAATCACAGATCAAACTATATATATGTTCAAAATTGATTTTTTTTTGTAATATTTTGTTTTTTGAAATTTTTGAAATATTTATTTAAATATAGAAATAAAGAAATATCTAGTTTAATATATTTTAATCAAAGAATTTATCTGGATAATTAAAAAATTTTGAATTTTAAGTAAAATAATTTTATCTTTTATGAAAAACTGTTTTAACTTTTAAACTTCAAAATATTTCAACTTATTATAATGACTATTTTATATATAAATATAGTTAAACACAAAAGAATACAAATATAAATTTTAATTTTAGCTGATTTATAATATAAACAGTTAATTTTAACTAGTCTATGATATAGAAATTCCAATTTTAGCTAATCTATAATATAGGAATTACCATTAAGTACAGTAATTTTTTATATTTGACTAGTGAATATTTATAAAATTTTAACTAATATATTATATATATAAAATTATATAAATTTATATAGGTCTTATAATCACAGGTCAAATACAAAGAATATGTAGCACAAATAGGAATTCCAATTTTAGCTAATTTATTAATATTGGATAAAATAGAACAGTTGAAATTAGTTAGTCCATGATAAATAAATTCTGATTTTAACTAATCTATAATATAGAAATTATTATTTAGTACAATAATTTTTTTATATTTGACTAGTGAATATTATGTCTTATTAATTTTTCTTATATTATGTCTTAGTAATTTTTTATATATCAATTTTCAAAATAGATTATTAAAATATTATAAATATTAATCTCTATATCTGACATATGTCAATTATATATATTTTCAAATAGTTTTTAATTTTTCTTGTATTTGTCTTTTTGAAAAATTTTTATATAAAGTGAATTAATGTATTTTTAATCAAAGAATCAAAATTTTTTCAAAAACTTTGAATTCTATAAAAATAAAAATAAAGATATTTACTAAAATTTATATATTAAAATAAGAGTTATAACTATTTCCTTAAATTACAACAATACTGATGACTTTAGTTATAATTTTTGTAGTTTTAATTACAATATCATAATTATTTAATAATATAATGTTGAAAATAATTAGTAATTATAATTACATATAAAAGTTTTGATTATAAATAAATATCAAATTATACTAAATAAACTTACAGATAAGAATAAATTGTAGATATTTTTTAACTTTATTTTTAAGACATGTATAATACCAACCAATCAGAATTGTAATTTAATTTAGCTTTACCTTAATTTAACTTTTGCACGCACTATTATTTAATAACTTTGTTTTAAAAAATTTCCTAATGTTACAAATGACAAATGTTGTAAAATATATCTATATAATTTTAGAAAAGAAAGACTTGAATTAAAACCAGTTATTGGTTATTCACTGGATTATAACAGGGTTGTTTAGTCTGAATTAATATAATTTTTTAAATTAAATTGATAATTTAATGTTTTTTCTTTTATCTCCTGGCAGCAGATTGACCAGAATTATCAAAACGGCTTATGTGATCTTTTTAATCTAGCTAACCCTAACCTTAACTTTGGCCGGTTTTGATCCGAGATCTGATATATTGATCAATAATTTCACCTGAATTTTGCCATTTCGGCTAAAATTAGAAAATAATTTCAATATAATTAGAATGATCAATTTATTTATAAATCGATGGTTTGGATTTTTCATGAATTAATAAACAAAAAATTGTCTATTTCAAATAAAACTTACCAGAACTAATTAGTATTACATTATTATAAATAAACCAAAAATTCATTATAGACATTACTAATATATGTACCTAACAAGAACATTATTTGCTTTTAAATTTAGGATTTGCATTTGGTGGGTCACGTTTATTCTCTATAGGTAATACTTTGCATTTTATCTATTGTCTCGGTTTTATGTGATCTTTGTATAAGTTACAGATCTGGGAGGGAAAGACTTTAACTAAAAAAAAATAATGATTATTATTTAAAATTCAAAAATTAAACTAATTAACTTACAAAAAAGGTTCAGAGATGTTTTTTTCAAAGGTGCATATAGTCAGACCAAGAATATTTGTACATACAACATTGTAACTGATGAAAATCTAGATATTCAAATTGGTTAAATATGTTGACTGGTTTAACTCACCTGATCATGTAAAAAACTTCTTCATAGAAAGCGTGGTCGTAAATACAACGAAAGCACAAACCAAGATTAAAAAACTTCTGTTCAAATTTACTTAATTGCTCCATTTACTGTAAACTTTTGTTTGAAAACAATAATTAAATTTTCACTAAACTATTAAAGATTTACTAAATATTATAATAAAAATCAGTCTTTGACATTTAAGAAAGGTGCCAAAATTATTGTACAAGATAATATAAATAGATCATATGAATTCGGAATGTGTTTGTCTTGTCAATAAAATAACATGGTTTACAATCACGAAATATTTGAATCTTCAAAATAGAAGTTGAGCCATCGCTATATTTCAATGTTCAAAGACTATACACCTCAGAACTTTCAGAAACTCATTTGACTCATTCACGGATTTTATTGAAATAAGTCGATAAACCGCTCCTTAGCAATGCTAAATTATAAATCATGAAATAACAGTGAGAAAGGATTGAAAATATGAATAAATGGAGATTGTTGCTAATTGATATATGATCTCATACCGCCGAGTTGCTTCTTGCAATGTTTCAGAAACATTCTTGGTATTTTTCCCAAGGCCGGCACCAAGTCCTGCTGTTCCATTATTTGTCACAAGCTGCACTGGATCAAGGATTCCTGTACCGTCGCGTCCTAACCCTTGTCCTTCCTTCCAGCCCATCTTTTGAAGAAGCTTATTTCCTTTATTATCAGATCCAATTTTAGTCTGAACACTTATATCCTTTTCTTGAGGTATCGTAGAGTCATCTTCCCAATCTTTTCTAATTGGACTGTTGTCTGGATATATACCTCGTCTTATCGCTGCTCGATCAACATATTTTTTTTTATGATTAGCATTTGACGGACCCATATATTTACGTTTCAATCGATTTAGCTCTTCGCGTCTCTGAAATTCTAAAAGTTCTTTTTGTGTAGCATTATTACTGCTATTGATAACGCCATTATCTCCCTCGATATTCCTCTGCTTTGTTTTACTATAATTAACATTTCCATCAAACTTTTGTGATATGTCAATCATTTTTCCTTCAGTAACAGTACATACATCGCAAGTCCATTTTTTGTGCAAATGCACTTGAAATTTTGTGCTTCCCACTATTAATTCGTCCATGTGATTTAATTGATAAGGTTTGGAGCTCACTTTACTTTCGGATAATCTTTTCGAGTTAACAAACGTACCATTTTGTGATCCGTTGTCAACAATGAAAAAGGTATCTAAATTAGTAAGGGTTGATAAATCGTCATCATCGCCAACATTATTATCAGAAGCATTAGGTGAAGAACAAAATATTTGACAATGATGTTTTGATGTTGGCATTTCAGCCAAACGAAGCCGACGATCATCCCATCTATCTCTCCCCATAGAGATTCCATTTGCATCTACTAAAACCAAGTGACCTGTTTGCAAAATCTCTGATTCTAAAACTACTAATCTGAGTGTTGCATCACTACCAGGCTCACCATGGTCTATTGCGGTAAGCTCAATACTGGCAGAAGGTGAAGTATATATCGTTGATGGTAGCTCGATAGGGGTATACGTCTGAGTAGATTCATCATATATTGAATATACGCCAGAATGCGTATCAAACCAAATATTGCTTTCTGGATTAAAATAATATTGTGTTTCTGAAGTCGGTATATAACCTGTCGGTGGAGTAAAAATCTGTGAATTTTGCTCTTCAATCTCAACCATTTTATTAGAAGCAAGATCAGCGTCTTCTTCATCCGTTGGATGATATATCGACTTTTCAAAGAGTCACGTGAATATTTATATATTGTTTTATTGGTTGTCGATCAACAATGTATGATTGGTCAATAAATCCTTTTGTATCACATGATTAATATTGAAAACTTTAGATTCGGTAGCGTTTGTCGATCATTTTATAATAAAATTCGGGGATAATAGCTTGTTTACTAAACTTCCACCCTTAATATAATGAAAAAAAGTATTAGTCTTATTCCATATTTACAATATTAATGGTTGCCTTTACCTAATTCTTTGAAAGAAATTATAACTTATTTTTCTATTCAAGTATAACAAAAGATTAGAGCAATACTCAACAACTGTGAATTCACTGTTACAATAGTTATTGGAAATAAAAACAATGATAATTCTTTATCAGGTTATATGTGTCAATGTGAAAATATTATAAAAACTGCAAATAATTCAATTAATACTATTTCTATTGTTTATTTCAAGATTTTTAGATCAAAAACTCACTATTCTGATTTATTAATAATAGGATTGAATGATGAAAATATAATAAATAAATTGAATGAAGATATTTCTTTTATTCATTATTCCTTTTACTTGAAAAAATAAAAATATTTATATATGGAGTGGGATATTCAATATATATAGATTGGTTTAATATTAGACTGAAATATAAATCTTTAATTTTTTATAATTTTAATAGAAATAAATAAACATTATTTGTTTCTAAAATTGAAAAAATTCATGCTCTATAAAAAATATACATATTTAAAAAATACTTAAAATATATTTAAAATATACTTAAAATATTATTATTTTATAATTAAAATGTATTTAAAATATACTTAAAAAATATTTAATTTAAGTAATAAGTAAGTATATTTTAAGTATATATTTAAAACATACTTAAGATATTATTAATATTTAAAAAAGTATTTGTCGAGAAACCTAAAAATATCTCTCCTAAAATCTGACGTAAAGAAACTAATATAAAACTTCTTAAAGTTTCTGTTGAAGCAAAAAAAATTAAGGGAAAATTATCTTTACAAAAATTCTCATGGTTAAAAATCTCCTTTTTCAAAATCAAATTGAAATGATTTTTGGAAAAATTGAAACAACCAATAAAATTAAAAATATAGTAATATATCTTTTGAATGAAGAAGAAGTACAAAAAACAAAAAAAGTAAATCTAGGAAATACTGAAAATTATATTTATATACAAAATGTGGTGAAACAGTTACCTAATGAATATGATAAATTACACAAATAGAAAATTTGAGATATTCTTTTATATGTAAAAAGAAATGATTTGATATTATATCTTAATCATTTTGGAAAAGTGAAACAATTACATTTAATAACAAAAAACATGTGACAATTAGGTCACGTGGAATTTGAAAATGTGAAAGTTGCAAAAAAATTATCAACAGAATGATCAATTTGAATTAGAATGAATTGTTTAAGAATTACATCAGGTAATACTAGTTACAAAGAATTAAATAATAGAGGTAAATGGGTAGCAAAGTTAGCCTGGTTATCTAGAGGAATGACAGCATTGGATATCAAACAAATTGTTAAAGATATCAAAGGTTGTACAATTTATATTTCAAGAACTAGAGAAGGATACAAAAGAAAAAATTATGTGATTATTTCATTTGATTCAGAAAAAGAAATGCAGAAATATCAGCACAACATAATGAAATTAACAGAGGAAATTACAATTAGGATAGTTCTTATGATAACACCTCTTTGTTTCATTTGTAGTTCGAATTTACATAAAGTAAAAGAATGTAATATAAATAAATATTACAAACAGTTGATTTTTAATAAGAAAGAAAAAATCAAATAATTTAATAATTTGTATAAAAAATATAAACCAAATTATTATTCAAATCTAATAAAAACTACTTCAAACTGAAATACTTATACAGATATAGTTAAAAATAAAGTTAATAATTTTGAAAAGGATATTAATAAGAATAAAATTGAGGAACAATATAAAGAATTTGATGAATTTAATTAAAATGTAATAGAAACAATAGAATTGTATACTGTACAAATTAAAGAGTTACGTAGAGAATGGAAGAAGTAGCTAAAGTTTTAACAGATATAGCAAAAAGATTTTTTGCCATTGAAAATTATCTTGATGAACATGATTAAATCTTGAAAGAAAATAATAATAAAAATATAAAAAAAAAAGACATAGAAACGAGAGAAGAAACAAATGACCCAAATGTATTAAAAGCATTAGATAATGTACCTAGGGGATTAGTTGATTTGACTAATATTATAAAGGGTTAGAAACTAGAGTCTACGTATAAGTAGACGTTGTCACCGGTAGTTTTTGGTTTCTTCAAGAACCACCTAGTAGAGTGACTTGATGGTTCTTTTAAGGAGTTTATAGTCATTTCCCGAAGGTAAAACTGTTGTTTCATTATTTTAGAAGGTACCACTGATTCAGTTATTTTAGAAAGGGAATTAGACCTTTCATCCATTTTATTTCAATATCTTTTCAAGTTCGTTATCATCCTCAATATTAATATTCATCCATTAATCATCTTTTAATTTCTTCAACTTTAAATATTGTTTCCAATTATTTAGATTAATTATTATTCCAAGTCCAGAAGTTATTATAATAATTTATAATTAATTTCATTAACTCAGGAATAATAATATTATACAATTATACAATTAAGTATTTAATCCTATAACATTCATTATTCCTTTATTAACTATATGTTTTATTATTTAATATAACTTTTATTTAATATTTTTAATATTTATTATTTTATTAATTCCATTGTAGGGTAATTTTTACAAATATTTATCTTGGAGTTACAAATTATAAAATTAAATTTATCAATTTCAAATAAGTTACAAATTATCAAAATTCAAAAT